TAAAGAATGTATTTTGGGAATAGATTTATTCATAAAATCAGTTTTGTCTAGTGAATTTATGAAAATTATTCATAGAAAATTTCTTCGAATAATAATAAGAATGATAGAAGTTATTTTTCTTGATTTGAATGATCTTCTTGACTTTATTTCAAATTTGTTCCAAAGATCTTCAAAGTGATTAAATGAAAAAAATGTTGTACATTTTAAAAAATTACTATTGAAAAATATAAGTATTCATTCGAAAAAATTTTTATTATTGGGAAGTGTAAAATGTTACAACATAGAATTAATGTTGGAAATGCTCTTCCTATTAAACAAGTTCCTTGTCGTGTTCCTTTACATCAGAGGAAAAAAGTAAATACTGTTATGAGATAAATAAAACAAATGAACCTTCTCATGGTCCTTAGGCTCCTCCTGTTGTTCTTATCTCCTGAATATGGTTTCCGGTGCTTAATGGTTCACCACTATTGATTTAAAAAGTGGTTATTCGCAGTTGAAGATGCTCCTGAAGATTGTGAGAAAACAGCTTTTTGTATTGGAAGTGAACTTTGGAAATTCAAAGTTTTTCCTCTTGGTTTATGTAATGCTCCTCCCACCTTTGTAAAATTTATAAATATAGTTTTACAAGATCACCTCGGCTAAATTTGTTTAATTCGTTTAGATGACATTATTATCTTTAGTAAAAGTCTTGATAAACATTCCATTCGTCTTCAAAATGTTTTTGAAAGACTCTTACCGTCAGGACTTTAAATTAATGCTAATAAATGTATATTCTTCTGAAGAGCGGTTGTCTTTTGTAAAAAAAAACTGTACTAATAAGTCAAACAAGTGTACTCCCACTGTTGACACAGCTCCGCCGTTCCTTTTACGGCCTAAAATGCCACAAGTGTTCTTGGTGAAGTTTTAGAGAGTTGTCCTGAGAAGATTTCTGCCATTATCAATTCGTGAATGCCGAAAAATAAAAATGAACTTAGGAGTTTTCTCAGTCTTTTCTCGTATTATAGGAAATTTATTACAGATTTTGCTACTTCAGCAAGACCTCTTCACTTAATTAGTGGAAAGAAAAAAGAAAAAAAATTGAAACAAATTTTAACTACTATACCTTTTTTGGGTTATCCAGATCCTAATTTTCCATTTATGTATGACACTAATGCTTCTAATGTTGGTATTGGAGCAGTTCTATCTCAGAATATCCCAATTAAGAAAAATAGTGAAATTATTTATCAAGAAAAGATTATTGCGTATTTTAGTAAGACTTTAAAAAGTCGTAAACGGAATTATTGCATAACTAGGATTGTTATCTGTTGTAATTTCGGTTGAACATTTTCGTCATTTTCTGCACCGTAAACGATTCATGATTAAAACTGATCATGCTTTTTTCAGTTGGTTAATTTCTTTCAAAAATCCTGATATAATTTTGAAGTTCAGAATAGACCTGGTCAAAGTCATGATCATGCTGATGCTACATCTCGGTATCGATGTGATTGTACGGAATGTTTGAAAATGGATGCTAACGCAAAATATTCTTTTAATAAAAATATTTTCCGCACTATCTTTGAAATTAATATTAATTTCGATTGGATTAAATTTAAAAATGATAAGAGTATTTCGAATTCAATAATTAAATACAAAGGAAAATAAAGTCTCTGAATTTAATGATGTTTCTCATTTAGATTTGACTTTTAAACTCACTTTACTTCATTGGAATTCTTTAGAATTAAAAAATGGAGTTTCAGTTAAACGATGGGAAGCTCCTAATTTTTCTTACATTAGTTTTCAGGTTGTTTCTCCTTGAGCCAAAGTTAATAGAATGATATGTCATAATTCATCTAGTAAAAATTTTAGTATAAATAAGAGTACTTCCTAGATTCATCAAAAATCCTTCGGGTCTACTCAGAATCAAGATGTTCATATTTGGTGTAAGAAGTGGAAAGTTTGTTTTGCTAAAAAAGATGCCTATAAGCGATCATGTGTTTTCTTCAAATTTATAATGTTAACTCTCCTTTTGAAAGAGTTGCGATTGATATTCTCGGTCCTCTTACTAAAACGTTTTCTGGAAATAAATTCGCTTTAGTTCTTACTAATTATTTTGCTAAATGGCCTGAAGAAATTCCTCTTCCTAATCATGAGACTTCTTCCATTTGCTAAAGCTTTAGTTCCTCAAATATTTTGTCGATATGGTGTCCCTTTGGATATTCACTCAACAATTTAGGTAGAGAGTTTGCATCAAAAATATTTGAAAAGGAAATAAATAAATAAATAAACAAATGAATTAGAAAGACTAGAACTACACCTCTTCATCCTCAATCTATTGGTTGAGTTGAAAGGTTGACGACAACTATTCTTCAACATTTATCAAAAGTTATCAATGAAAATCAAAAAGATTAAGATCGTTGGATTTTTCCATTTTTGTTAGATTATCATTCTTTTCAACATAAGACTACAGAATTTACTCTAGCAATACTAATGTTAGGTCGTGAGTTAAGGTTATTCTGAGATTTTCTTTGTAGAATTTTCCCTCCAGAAAACATTCCTAAAGATAATTCAATAAATATGTTTTGAATCTTCGCCAGAAATTATAATTTTCCATTAACAGCTAAAATGAAGATAAGTTAGGCACTATGTGTCCATAATATTATATAAAGTTCTAACAGTTTTTCAGGCTATTGAACTAATGTTTTTAGAAATTCCTTGTAAGATGGAAAACGTATGGTTTTTTATATAAATTTATCTAACAAAGAAACCTCGCGAGGTGGTCACCGTCGATTCAGCTGGGGCTTCTATACAATAATCTACGTCGAAAATTATGAACCACGTATTTTTTTTCTGCGGAAAAACGTTTTGAAAGGGTGAAAATCACCTCCAATGTTGACACCCTCTAAAGGTGATTCCCAATTATCATGTATTTCCAATCGAAATTTTCTTATACGTTTAAAATAACATAAAAAATAATAAAAAATACCTTTATTCACAAATTATTTTTTAATGGAACCAATTTCTATCGAAAGAGTATAAAAATTTACGAGATACGCGGCTTCGCAATTGTTTAAATGTTCACGATACAATGATTTTTTACACCATGCACAACAGATAATTGCAATATTTTTACATCCTGGAATTCCACAATGAGACTTACAGTGATCTCCAAATGCTAAATTAACTTGATTTTCAAATTCATATGGTGTAATAAATGTACAACTACTCTTAAACCATAAATAACGATAAAGTATGTATCGTGGAGACGAGAGTTGGTAAGGAGTCAGTGATTGTAATTTAATAATATTATTACTCAAGTGTAAATTTAAATCATCTCCTCATAATAGGACACTGTATGGAAAATGTCTCACAAAGTTTTTCTATATTCTGAACACAAAAACATCTAATGTTTGAATCTGTCCAGTACCCTTCTTAGGAATAATCATTATCTCAATTTCTTTATCCGGTGGTTTGACAGACGTGACAGCTTCAGAACAATGCCCAGTTTACGAATTAATCAAAAGTAAACTTTTTTTCCAACATTCGAAAAGAATACATCCCTCAACCAGATTTTGAAGTGTTCTCAAAAAATTAGTATATAAACTTCCAGAATATATTATATAATATAATATTTGAATTGAATTCGTTACCTGAAGTAAGTTTTCCAGATTTCGATATTTCTACGTGTACATTATCTGGCCTAAAAAGCGATGCTTCTACCCGTGAACCAAGTTTGTCAGTTGGTTCTTTGAACACAAGAAAAAAGGGAGTGAGAAGTTTTCCATTAGCTGATACCGTTGGTTGTATAGTATAACTGTGAGTTGTCGATCAAACTGATTGAACTGTACACTCCATTTTTTCTTTATCTTCTGGAGCTAAAGTCCTCTCTGAAGGTACTCCTAATTGATAGCCACTTTGATCAGAATTATATATGCTGTCTAAACCATATGATTGAATTTCCGATTTTACATCGTTAACGAACACTTCTGATGTTTGTTTTTTTTATTCTACGATCTTTAATCGTTTTCGATGATAGGAATTTGTTTAATTTTACGAGAGACATTACGATTAGTTCTTTTGAATGATGGTATCCACGTTGGAAATACTTGAAAACGGAGATCATCAAATCGTAAATTTTTTTAGCTAGTAAAATATATTTGCAAATTTGAGCGATTTTTTCTTTGTATGTTTCACGTTGGTCCAATTGATGTGGTCCAATATTATCGGTGTACAATAGAATATAATATATTGTTCCATTAATTGTTTGCAGATATTTTGAAAAAGGAATGATTTATGAATATGAGTCTATTCAATATATTGCGATATAATCGATTAAGCACATTTCATTTGTTTTCAATATAAATTTGAGCTCACCGATAATGAACGTGCGCATAAATTATACAATGTGACACTACCAACTTAACAAAACGCGAAATGTTTAACTTTCTTCCATGATAAAAATTTTTTTTCAACAATCTATGACTTTCAATCCTAAGTACAGTAAGAATCTATTGAACAGTGAAACACATCAGAGTTCTGGATCATACAATATGGAGTAAATTCTATGGCTGATCGTATGTTGATCACTAAGCTAGACTTTTGTTTTAAACAAGTTAGCTTAGACTTGAGGACTTCACTACGATAAAACCGTTTCAACGTGTGTGAGATGCTCTTATCCAAAAGTCGAAGTTTACCGGTGGTATTGGCAGGCAAAAGTAACTTTCACATTTTCAAGTTTTGGTAAGTCCGTACAGACAATGCAGTTATCGATAAAGACCATTAATAGAGTTTTCTCAGTAATTCAGGTGTTGCTTATCCAGGATCAACTGTATATGATTCCAACATTTTTTCTCGAAGAGTTACTGTTTGCATGGATTTGTAAATCCATTAACGAATATTTCCATCCATAATTTAGATAATCAATCATAGTGTTCATTTTCGAATTTATATTTACTACCAGAAACACCGTTAATCAATAAAGATATATAATATAAACTTCATATAATGCCATTTTAAATACTCACAATAACTAACTGGCTCATCGTCAACCCAAAGTTTAATTGATTGAGCACGCCGAGAAAATTTCATTGTGTGCCATGTTTCATCATTGAGACCTTGACCCGACATGAGAGTCTGCAAAATAGAAAATCTTGTGTTAATTATAGTTGTCTGGAATTTTGTATTCTGAGAAAGTTTTTGTGGATTCTCATATAATTATAGATTGATAGTTTGTCTATACTATATGTCAATACATTAATTTTTTTGTGAAAGATCTAGATAAACATTAAGTGAATTTCTGAAGATTGATGACAGAAGTAGAAGAGGCAGATTTGAAAATTGTAACTAGAGAAATAAATATTATTGAGAATAAAAATACGTTGTATATAAATATACGAGTATATTTCAAACTTCTAGTTCGCCCAAATAACTCGAGCAGCCCGAGAGGTTGTGTCCGAGTATACCAGTGCAATCGGCATGGAGTTTGGGTTAGACGGCAGTATCTCGTTCAGTAAAAGGAAGATCGCCGAACTGAAGTGATAATGCCGAGCTTACAGACTGAAGCATCATAAAACGTCTGGATGCTGGTGAATCATACCGATATCTTGGACAGGTACAAACTCCTTCACAGGACGTGTCTGTCGTCAAAGATACTCTCCGTAGCGAGTAGAAGTAACGACTTAAAAGGATATGGGGCTCTGAATTATCAGGCCATAATAAAGTACTCACCGTCCTAGTCTTGCTATACTCATTCGGAGTTCTTAAATGGCTCCAAAGTGAGCTTAAAGATCTGGACATTATCACGAGAAAAGTGATGACATTATACCGAAGTTATTACTTATACATGATAGGTTGAGGTCAACGTTTGCTCCCGAACGTATGGCTGATATACGAGACAGTGCAACAAGAAGTGTTTCATTGTGTCATTCTCTTCCCTATTACAATTACAGAAAGTTAAGTCAGTCTTGGTGGTATATTGTGCACGAAAAATACTATGCTGTGTTAATATTGGTGTCATCAGGTTGTTGTAGCGATTCCAGTTATTGTCAAGTCTATCTGCTATGTTCAGGGAAAAGTGGTATGCTTTGCGGCCTGTTTCGGATGCATCCCATTTTGCCTGCCATACACAGTAGAAAATTTTATGTTCTGTGTAAAAAAAATGTAGTAGTCAAAATTTTTGTGTTAAATTAGCAGCACAACCTTGCGTTAATTGAACATTTATTGCTTGCGTTAAATAAATGTATTCACACAAATTTCAATCCAACTCAATAAAAATGTCAATAAATTATGAACAAGACTGAACGTAACAATATGTGTGTAACGGAAAATAAACAAACGTTTGTTTTATCGTCATAATTTTTCGAAATCCTATTCCGAGAAGAATGTAATAAGTGCTCTTTTTCGTGTATTTCCAACACAAAAAGTGTGTTATACATCAAAATCTATTTCAATAAGTATTGGAAACTACATAAAACTAGTGTCATTCATTTCGAATAACACTTTTAAAGTGTAGAATTAACACTTTTTGATTGTAGGTGACTCTACAAAAGAACAATCTCTCGTGCGTTTTCTGTTTTATCTAAAAGTGGGGGCAGTGGTACTATTATTCGTTTTCGTGCATTCAGAAGACAAAATACATATCACAAAAGTGTATATTTCTGAGTTAAATTTGTTCTTTTAATAATTATTGAAAAGTAAATCAGTGAGTTGATTATAAAAATTTCTCTAATTTAAAGTATATATTGTATCAATCTATAAATGCATTTTATACTTATATTATGATGAAAGTGAATGCTCATAACCTTAAATAAGTTGCTCCCACACGTTCCTCATACGGCATTTATAATTAAATTATTAATTGATTTTGCAGTGATAAATGATATTCTTCATGTAATCGATTATTTTAAACTTTCATTGAAGTAAATCCGTATTTAGATACATATTTGATTTTCAGTTTGTCATTATCTACCTACGCGATATAAGTGATTTTGACGACGCAACTTTTGTATGGTTGTTTCTTGTATTTAAATATAGTGATCATAGAATGTGGATGAAATTACCAGAACCATATATTTACGAACATTTTACCTACAAAGGTATTGGAAATTCTCCTTTTTCTACCTTCTAAAAATATTATTCGAATATAATCTGATGTAATATTTAAATAAAAGTAAAATGTGAACAACGTAATTTATTGAGAGAGTTTTTACAAAGTGACAGAAACCATAGACTTGCTATTCTATATTAGTGGTGTATCAATCGATAAAGAAGGGATGGATTTTATTATTACAACATAATCAAATTGTAATGATTTATTTTCGCTTGTGAATTATTTCCGAATCTATGTGAAAATGAGTTTTTCGTTACGGACAATATTGATGTAAAATTTGGTTCGAATATTTGCCGGATTATGTGAGACTAAACGATCGAGGTGTGATTGTGAAAATTCGTTGTTCTCGAACAATAGTAGACATTTCTAATAACCCAATTTTCTAATACTGACATTTGCTACTTTTTTTTTGTTTTAATATTTGAGGTAAGTTTTATTGTAAAATTGATGTTAACTGTTATGATAAAGAAAATTCATTATGGTTTTTCCAAATAAAATATTATAATATTTGCAGTAGTTAATCTAAATTTCGCAATTGACTCTAAAATAACGAAGGAAAAGATCGAAGTCTACTTGGTAGACAATTTTCTCTAAATTCATTATAGAGTAAAAAAAGATCTTTTAATGTATTATTTATTGTGTTGTACTTAGAATGGGGTCGCATAACAAATGCTATGATAGCGCTCACTCAGTTACTCCCTCCAATAGCCAAGGGTAAGCATTCATCATCGAGAGAAAAACCGAGGAATATTATAAAAAAGTTGATTGTTTTCAAAGAGGTACGTTTTTTTCATAGAAGCAGTATATAACATAAATAAATTCTATTCCTTAATTTCATTACTTTTCAAGCGTGGAACACCACTGACGGCTAACGAGGAACACCGAAATCAACCTAAATTAATTGCAGTTGGATCAAACAAATCAGCAATTGATCAATATTTCTTGGAAATTGATAAGAAATTCATATTACTGCCTACAAAAGATACTGTACAAGCAATGAATTACTTATTTAAAGCTCATTTTGTCTTTACAGCAGTTCGACAACGATCTTCACAATTTTTGGGTATTGTTACAACATGACCTTTGTCACATACTAAGTAAAGTGAAATGCACCAATGTTATTGTTGAATTTTTTACAAAAATTGATTTTATTCAAAGAAATAGTTCTAAACAATGCGAAAATTGATATTGCATAATAAGTCAGTCATACAATTTTAGAACGAATATTTTTATTGCAAGATTTTAGATTTTTAAGTACAGTATTGTTCTCAATTTTGAAAATTTTACAGTTAACCATTTTCTTAGTTAATACGTATATTCAGGTATTTTTTTCTAAGTAATTATCTGATTATTATTATGATTAATTTTTTTTTGTGCGATTTCAAAACTCATACAACTAACGGAATTTGTAGTCATTTACGCATTAACCATTTGTTAGTCGATGGCTCTAATTTACATCTAAAATGTTGTTTCGGATTTCCAGCTAGTTTAGAAACGTATAATGGGTTTAGAAAACATTTAAGAAGGTGTGAATCACAACCAATCCCATCATGTCATTATAGTAGTACTGATTCTGTTGATGAGACATTAATATCTGATTCTGGTATTAACGATAATGACATTGAAGATAATGCTCAGGTGGCTGATGATGGTGGTCATATTACAGACACAATGATTCGAAAAAATTTATTTCATTATATCTCCAAACTATATTCCTTAGGATTACCTGATAGCACAATCACAACGATTCTCGAATCAATGACAGAAATGTTAATTCCACTTTTAGACGATATCGTATCCATGACAACATTAGATAAACGTCAATATCTCGCGGATATATTTACATTTTCTATTGAAAATAAATTAACTAAGTATGGTAGACAGAAACTTTTTACGGAAAACATTGTAAAGCCTGTTCGAAAAGCCCACGATGTTCGAATTGATAAAAAGTTCGATAGTCAAATAGTGTGTTATAAGCAGATCCCTGTAACGAGCACATTTACATATTTTCCAATACTTGAAACTTTGTCTATTTTATGCAATGAAGAAGCTTTTCAGAAATACTTAAAGAATAAAAGTCCTATTAAAAATAATGATTACACAGGTTTTAAAAGCGGAGCAGTTTATAAAAATAACTTTTCTTTTTCAACTAATAAAAATGCAATTTAAATAAATGCAATACTTTCAATTTTTTCGGTGTCAAGCATCGCACTCCCTTACTCAATTTGACTTATTTTGATGTTTGTGAGAACCAAGTTTGCATTGATTCAAAGATGATTACTTTAACTGCTTTGAATGAAAAAATATAGGCATTTGACTATGGACTTTATAATCGATCGAACCATCCAACAGCAATCAATCTAAATAAAAATTCTGATTCGATCGGTTGAATTTAATGACACTCCTTTATTTGATAAGTAAAAAATAGTCTTAATATTATTCAATAATTCAAAAATAGTTCTGTTACCAAGAACAACAAATACTATGTCATAAGATTTAAAACTACTCATGAAAACACATCATTGCCTATATGCTTAGGGTATGTCGTTCAAAAAAAAAGCCAAATGTATTGATTATAAAGATAAGTGATTTACCTTATACGAAAAGTTGGAATATTTACAAATGTTCTGATGAAGAGCATGTTATTGCAACAAAGCATTTTTTGTAAATTAATAGATAATATGTTTGTTAAAATATTGAATAGAAAAGTTTAAGTATAGGAAAATTAAATGTTACTACTTTCTTGCATTCTTTAATAAAGAAGAAAATTTACAATAGTTATAACGGGTGGTAATAATAGTAATAATGAATAAATAAAACCTAACTAACATAAAAGAAGTGTCAAGTTTCCCAGTGTAAGTGTTAATATAACCATTATTTAGAGTGAATGTTTAACACAAAAACATGTAAAATTAACTGAATTAGTATAGTATATGATACTGCGAAAAAATATATACCAACACATTTATTGAGTAAACTTTTACATTCTACATCGGTTAATTTTACACATCATTGTGTCAAAATG